TTACGGCCACATCACTTTGAAACATCTGTTCCTGAACGATCAGCGAAGTTAAGCAACGTCGAGCCTGACCAGTACCTAGATAGGTGATCGCTTGGGAATAACAAGTGCTGTAAGCTTGGATATGTGGATGGTATAATGGATAATTGCTCGAAAATTTTAATCGGAGTGTCGAGTTCCAATCCCCGTTGCCATCGTTATATTCACTTATGCGCAAATATCCTTGGGAAAGGCATGAATCCATTACTTCTCCCCTAGCAATGGATTAATTAGTAAGACTTGTATCGCGAAACCATTATAATCTCAGAAAAAAAATTCTTACAATTTAAACATATTTTCTAGCTTTAAATAACTTACAAAATGCTGATAATATGTAGAAAACGAATTTATCAATCTTATCGCTCACAAAATAATCGCCTTGAGTAAAACTCCACCTTGAGTTGTTCTGAGCCTTTCTATGGTGAACATTAATATAAAAAAAACATCCTGGGTATGACGATAAACTACGTCTGCATCCCGGGTAAGACGATAAACTGCGTCTAACAGCAAGGCCTCTGATCAGGAGGTTTTGAAGAGCGTGGAACCACCTCTTAATTGCTGGTGTTCCCATGTCCATCCTGACCCGGGGTGGTAGCACCTGTTAGGGTCACAGATATGGGGTCAAAACACTATCAGAGTGCAAAACCAGGTTTTAATACCAGGAGTACTTTGGGAAAAAATATTACCAGCAATAAATTTTCGAAGGGAAAATTATTACCAGCAATACATTTTTGAAAAAATAAAAAAAATAAAAAAAAAATACCAGTTATACATTTTTTGAAAAAGAAAAAAATATTGCCAGAAATAGATTTTTGAAGGAAAAAAATATTGCCAGAAATAGATTTTTGAAGGAAAAAAATATTGCCAGAAATAGATTTTTGAAGGAAAAAAATATTGCCAGCAATACATTTTCAGAAAAAAATATTACCAGCAATAAAAATTTTGTCGGCATTAAATAACCCACTGAGGGTGTTATGCTGTAAAACAAAACAAACAAAAACATTACTAAAACCACAATAAATTAAACAAAGATACCGATAAACTATAAAATATTTTAGGATTTACCTTTCGCCATCAGATTTTGTTTGACATTATAAACTCTGATATGAGAGCGGCGAAAGTTTTTATGTATTTGTTTAATAACTGCTACCTATTATGTCGAGGGTCACCTAAAAAAATGTTACACGATCGATGTAGTCTTCAGGGAAAAATTTTCGGAAAATAAAAACAATCAGTAATTCCACTCATTTACAGGAAAGAATAAACAAGTTCAATTATTATTTTAGTTAAATTTAAAAAAAAAGAAAAAACGAAAAAAAAAACCGTTGTCAGCCATCAACATGTACAAACACGAAAGAGGCCCGTTTTGAAAACCTCATAGCTTTTTACATCACTTTTATTTAATCTAAAGTTAGAATACTGCGTCAATGTTGCCGTTTCTCATTATCACTTCAATAGTCTCAGTGTCGCTTGAGGGTCATTTCAGATGACAGACCAATGATTTGATGGGATTCTGTAAACAGTATTTATCTAACAGGCGACAGGGTGCTACAGACGTTCGTTACAATTAGAATATTGTCAACAGTTTTTATTTCTCTCGCCTGGACTTTTTGTTTTGCCATGTAATCAACAGTTCCCTCTCTCTCTATCTCTCTTCTCACTCTCTCATTTTTTTTTTTTTGTCTTTTACGCTTCGAAAATAAAAAGCACAGATATTTGCCTGTATTTTGTTTATTGCGTCTATTCGTGAAGATAATTCATTGTCAGGCATTTTTTCACAAACTCTCTATTTTAATTTGCCGAAAGCAGAATTTTTAAGCATGCAACTCTTACCTTCTAAAATTTACATGTTCACAAAAAATACATGTTCGTTCAATTATATCAGTTCAGGCGAGGAGAGAAATAAAAATTGTCCAAATGTTAGATTAAACTTTGAACCGTTGTATCTTAGAAATGATTAAAGATGTTTTACTGGAATTATCCAAGGTTTATATAACACTATTGGACTCTACATGGTACAATAAGTATGTATTTAGCTCTAAGTTGAAAAGATGATCCCTCTTGCTGTTGTGACCTTATTATTCAATTTTCCTCTCTATTGTTGACACTTGTTAAACATATTCACCATTATTGAATGGTTCTTGAAGATGGAAGTCAGACTTTGAATATTGGTACCATTACTGAAGGCCTAAATGATCTTTTTTCTCTCGCCATTACTCACTTGGGAAGACATTATAGGTTTGACACAAAATGATTTTAACCTGTTCTCTTTCTAGCAAAATAACTTTAGGTGTTACAAGTAATATATATATATATATATATATATATATATATATATATATATATATATATATATATAATTTATAAACAGCGAAAGAAAATCTGTCTGTACATGCTCCTGAAAAAATTATTTCGGTTGAGCTCTTCAGAGAGAGAAGTGAATTTGATGAGAGTGACTATTGCTGCAGCTGATGTAAGACACTTCATTAAAACGAATTGAGTTCTCCGGTTACTGGCGTGTTTGTTTAAAAAATAAATACGTCTAAATTCACTTTCATACCTACAGTGCGCCAATGTCTTAGGGGTAAAATCTCCGACTGATACCAAAATTCCGGCTTGAGGCAGTTGGATGTTTAGACTCATGAGCCGTGAAAAAGGAAACAGTCTGTGGATGACTAATATACATACATACATACACACACATATATATATATATATATATATATATATATATATATATATATATATATATATATAATACACAATAAAATTTTACTGTGTATTAATTATTTACTCTGTACTCTGTACTAATAAATGCATTGAGCGAGTTTTGTGAATGGGTTTTAATATTTTATATTACTAGAATCCGCTTTAATTATATACCGACGGATTTAGTACCTTTAGTATATATATATATATATATTCATACACGTTTCATTAAATATATAGACAAGTGTTGTCTATTTATTTTATGTAAATTCTTTTCATAACGTCTGATAAGCTTAATAACATTATCATTAACGAAGAAAGAAAATCACAATATTGATCCATATTTTTTAATTCAATCTAAGCTTTCGGCTTACATAAGCCATTATCAAAGATGTTGATTACTGAATACATATTAAGCAATATACGGACAAAACATTGATGATAGTCTGTTATTGTTTACATGGATGATTTCCAAGCAACAATAAACACGTGCAAATAAGACGCTAGAAGCGAAAATCGCACCGCAGCTCCTGACGTCACACATGACCACGCGAGAGTGAATTCGAAAAGTATGGGAAGCCGTTGGTATAAACCGATGGCTACTATTACCAATTATAGACATTTAAAGATATTTGTAGAGATTCCATAGTTGATTTTGTTTAGGTTAGGTTTCAACTTTTTGATGTACATAGCTTCAAGGATTTTTAAAAATCCTTGAAGCTATATATATATATATATATATATATATATGTGTGTGTGTGTGTGTGTGTGTGTGTGTTTTGACAGAAGCCATTCCACCACTTAAATAAATAGTTTTATCAAATTAATTCAGTAATTTTTTTTGTAGTCTGGCAGTTTTCATATAGGGTTACGTTTAAAAATATTGTTAAAGTTGAAATGTTTTTGTTTTTTCCTCGTTCGTCATCATTATGACCAGTTCCCTTCACATGTTTCGGTGGCTTGTCAATATCTTAGTCTGTGTTTAATCTTCCAGTACTTTCAGTGACGTTGCCGGCACCCACCGCCATTTTGTTTTTTATACTCACAAAACAACCACCTTCAGTAATAATAATCTGTCATAAGTGGCTCTTGGGCCGTTGCGCAATGAACATTAGTTAAAAGCAAAAACACAAACAAACAAAAAAAAAGAACAGAAATGCCGATACACTGCTTACATGTATAACAGATTCAAATACACTTCGTGATAAACTATTTTATGGTGATTTCCTCTCTATTGTTGACACTTTTTAAACATATTCACCATTCATTCATTAGCTTAGACGCGGCAGAAGACTGGAAGTATGGGGTACCAAGTGAGGATCTGACCCAATCGTAATTTTTCTAGCGAGATAAGCTTGCTAACCATTGCACCACGTCGAGGTGCCCCTATAAAATATTGTATTATTTTTTTTTCGGCCATCTGAATTTGTTTTGTCGTAATAGATTCTATTTTGAGGGCAAATGAAAGTCTTCGTGTATTTGTTTAATAAATACTATCCATTATATTGAGGGTTACCTGAAACAAAAGAAATTACATGATCAATGTGATCATCGCTGAAAAATCTTCGGAAAATAAAAAGCTATCTGTAATTCCCTAGGAATTTAGTCTAGAATGACAGCGGAAAGTTTATTGATTCTTATGACGAGTTTATGCAATTTGCACATTCTTCATTCCTCTGTACAGTGAATTTCTTTCGCCGTGTGGTCTAAAGCGTTTTTCGCTGTCCCAAATCATTTCTTTTTATATCAAACTCTGTCCCTGGTACTAAAAAATTCTATCTATTCAATTTCATTCAGTTTTATATCTGGTAAATGTTCGTTTTAAAAAGCGATACTTTTTGAGTTCTTTCTTGACTAGCAGTATCGACGTCAATGGCAAAAAATTAATAGTAATTTTCTTTATATATCTCTTGAATCGATGGTTTATTATTTATAAATTTTCTCCGCCATTGATTCTGATCTAATAATATCGATGACATTTATTATTTATTTATTAATTAATTTATTTATTTACAATATTCATTAGCATAACCGCTTTATCTTTACATCGACATCAAAGCCATTGATTTCCAATAAGCCAATTGATTTACTATAGTTTTCCGTTAAGTAACCACTGGGAATCAATAGCATTGATGTCTATGAAAAGATTTTAATTTTAATGGTGGATATAAGATCTTCCAATGGGTCTGTTTCTTATCTGATGGTGTCTCACTCTGCGTCATTCGAGATGCGGTCTACAGAGCAGACGCCGAGTATGGTTCTATATCGTCTAATTTCTATTACTTGGATTCTTCGCTGTAATTCTGCTGTTAACATCCAAGATTCGCAGCTATATGGAAAGAAAACGCATGCAACAGTCTGATCTTTGA